CATACGGTTGGCCAAAACTCTCGACACAATCTTGAAAAACGTAGTAGTCAACGTGATGGGGCGCTTATTCCGAATTTGAGATCTCGTCCCCTTTTTGTGCACGAGAGTAACAACCCCCTGCAACTGCTGTGCGGGCATAGAGTGACCCAAAGCCATGGCCATAAGACAATCAACAATCTCTTGGTCCAACAGAGAAGCACACTTCTTGAACATCATTGCAAGCCAATCATCAACACCCGGTACTTTACCCAAAGGCTGCTGCTTAAAGGCCGTCCTAACCTCTTCAACAGTAAAGTCATCCTCCAGTGCCTGCCGCTGTTCCAGCGAGAGCTCTTTATCCAGGGCAGGCCAAATATGCAGCGAACAAATCTCGTCCACATTCGGGATTTGCAACCTAGTAGTAAAAAGATCCGAATAGAAAAAAACAGTGTAATCAAGAATCACCTCTGTTTTTTTTTTTTTTTTTTTTTTTTTACCAAAACAACCCAGCAGAATGCTAGGGGTGCTGATAAAAGCAGACACCACTAGCAATCCCCGGGAGGCTCTATCTATTGGTGGGGAGCAACACCCGCTGGGAAGCGGGTCCAGCGTCCCTGAACATTTGAGCTGTTTGATTTGCGAAATGGATTTGTGATGGAGGCAGTCAGCACTACACAGCACTCTGAGCTGCTTGCCTATCTGACAGCCTACTACTGGCGAATCGCCTCTGTTGTAGTGGTAGGCGGAAGGGCATCGGTAAAAGGGTGGTCCAACCGCAAGATACAAGAGTCAGCTCTGCCGCTAGGGACTCTACGAAAGTGAGATGCAGTCATACGATCTGCCCTCGCCAACCATTTTTGTTTTGTTTTCCACTCTGAATGTCTATGACAATCACGCACTTGTGACACAATATCGTGGATATGGGAACTTAGCGAAGGCGAAAAGACAAGGCCTGAGTTCGAAGAGGAATTCAGAAGTCGCAGCAGCTCACGCAACTTACATTTCTGCCTACAAAAGAAATCAGAGGTAGCAATCCCACGTTTTGCAGTCAAGGCATAGCGGCGGAGAGAATTCAAAAGAGATTGGACCCTCACCGCGGAGGTATCTCCAGAGGGCAGCAAACTCTTCGTTGTTTTCAAGACATCCAAAGCACTTCCAACAAATCGAGCATCATAGCAAAGGCTTTGGGGGAGATGCACCATGTCGGGATAAGTACGAAGGAGCAATCCCCTTCGCAAAGAGAGAAGGAGCGGCAAATGATCGGACCCCACAACAGGCAAGATGGCAGTATCCTGGACCAAGGGAAGCAAAGCTTCACTAACAAAAGAAAAGTCAATGCGGGAACGAGGGCAGTAAGACTCATTCGGAAGGCGAGAGCCCTGCCTAGTGAACTGTTGCGTGTCCGGATATAAGAAACGAAAAGTGTCAGTCCACCCCAAGGCCGCAGCGATAGCAGTAATCCGCAAGGCGTCCACTGTTGGTGGGTGGGGACAAGGCATCAAAACCCGAATCAAAACCAGGCATAAGAGTAGTATTCCATTTCCCGATCAAGACAAGCTTGTCAACCTGTGGGACCAGGCCAGGTAAAAATCGGAAAAAGCGGCTCCTTTCAGCAAGATCCACCGGAGCATAGAGGGTAAAGATACCCCAGAGCTCACCATCCAGTTCAAAAGCAACCCAAACCCACCTTGTGACGCCCCAACCTCACGCCCAGCGCGACTTCCTGATCGGAGTGGGATGTGGGCCTGGAAGTGCAAAAAGGGGTGTGCCAAGGATTTTTGGGGAAAGTGGGGGAGTCTTAAGGGTATGAATGCAATCAGGCGAGCGTGCGCAAGGGACTCACGGTCCGATGGGGCCGGGGCACTGTGGGCGATGGGTTACCGGAAAATTCCTCCGTGGTGGAGGTGGTCCTGAAAAGTTAGGCCGTCGGGGGCCGCCACGCGGCGCAGGCCGCCGCGTACCTGGGTTGGGCCTTCGGAATTCCGGAGTGCTCTGCGTGCCGTTGCGTCGGCAGTTCATGCAAAACGTATTGGGCCAAGAGGGGGCTATGGCCGGCCACGGGACGACACTGAGTTGATGATACGGGAGAAGGAGGCGGAAAGGAGGGAAACTAGTGGTGATCTCAACGAATCCTGGGTGGGTGAAGTAGTAGGTGTGGTCGGGGGAAGGAAAATCGGAGCACCGAGGGTCGCTAGTGGTGGCATAGTGGAATTCCCGCGGACATAGCCGATTCTCCGTGTGACAGGGGTATCGTGTCCTTATGAGCTCGTTTGTTATAGGGGTGAAATAGTCCGGGTCATAGGATGAGTCTGAACCCCAAGATCGTGTCATGGTGTCATTGTCGGTGTGATAGCGCGGGTCGGGATATCGCCACCGCGTATGAGCACGTGTTGGACAGGCGAGCTTAGTTGCGCCCCGGCGTGCTCGTGCGGGATGGTGGCTTCGCCACGAGTCCTGTCTGGGCAGGCGAATCGACGCACGGGAATGCGTGTAAGGGCGCGACTCGGATCGCGTTTATACGTGTTCTCGCGCGGCGTTCACGGGGCCAGACTTCGGATCGTCGATTATGCAAGATGCAACCACAACACAATCCCCATCACGAGATAAGCAAAAACGAGAACGAAGTCGACATCGGGGCCAGACTCTTATCCCATCTATCGCTGCATCCGGTGCAAGCAAAGATTCGGCACAACCAAAAAGCAAGAGCAGGGATTCTCCGCAAAAGAGATAGGCAAGCAGGCGTAACATTCATGGATCCATACATTCGACAATTATACACATAACACAAGCAAAAACGGACATCGCGAAGACAAATAGGAGCAAAAATCCAAGCCCAGATTTCAGAAGGCCGAAACAAAAATAAGAACGGGAAAACCGCCCGGAGCCGTAATCAAAATGTAGGTACATAGGTGAAGAGGGGGAAGAGACAAAGAAACCGCAAATCCACGTCCATCAACCGCAACTCTCTTCTCCTCTCTCTCTCTCTCCGATGCGGACAGTCCGTCGTCACGCACCAACCCATGAAGTTGTCACCCCGTTTAG